AATGATCATGTCGCGGTCTTAAGGCCGAAAGGGCGCAACTATTGGCTAGATCGTCCTCCTCTCACACTTCCGCTTATCCTGACGTTGCGCGGGATTCGTACGAGAAGTGGATCCATGCCGAGGCCCAGCTAGACATCTTTAGGGATTTGTTGGCGGCAGGGAGAGTTACTGAGGTTGAGTTCGAGGGTGCTCGTGCCAAGGCGCGCACAGCTCGAATCGGCTGTGGTTATGATCCCGCTACGCCACTGGCGTGCAATGAATGATAAAGACGAGCTGGGCGGAATCGAGCAAGGCTCTTGGTATGATGATGCGTATGCGAGGATGACGGCGGGAATGATGGCAGAGATGATGGCGGGGATGATGTCGCTAAGTGATGCTTTTGTAATATTTTCTTTCCTTTTTATGCTTTTGTGGGCGGCTGTTCGATCCTTGTAAGATACATTTTGATTTGGAATGCTAATTTTTGCTGTTTATTTCTGAGTCTTCTATTTTTTCCTTGAATGTTTTCCTTGATTGATTGTCTTGATTTACAACTGTTGGTATGCGTTAATTCTAACATGGCCGAGTGTGTCTAATTAGTTCGAGTAAAGTTAAATATCGCCATAATTAATTCAGATGAGGTTATTTGTGAATGAAATTTGAGCTAGGTCGAATGTGAGTTGATTCGAGCGAGGACGAATGTTATTCTTTAATAATTGGAATGAGGTCGAATGTGAGTTGATTTGAGCGAGGTGAATATTACTTTTAAATAATTCGAACGAGTTCGAATGTGAGTTGATTTGAGCGAGGTCGAATGTTACTCTTAATTAATTCGAACGAGGTGAATGTGAGTTGATTCGAGCGAGGTCGATTGTTACTCTTAAATAATTCAAACGAGGTCGAATGTGAGTTAATTCGAGCGAGGTCGAATGTGAGTTAATTCGAGCGAGGTCGAATGTTACTTTTAATTAATTCGAACGAGGTCGAATGTGAATTGATTCGAGCGAGGTCAAATGTGAGTGTCTTGATTGGTGCGGTATTAAAACTTGGTGGAGATAGGCAAACATCATGTGCTTGTATGCTTTACTTGCATAAATACATTGGAGAAGCTTGCATGTTTTTCGGGCTGGTGTTCCAGTCCCAGTTTACCTAGTCCCTTTGTTGTTCGACCTGGAGAAGTATTCGATGGGTCGAGCAATGAACTTGCCAACTTGTATTCTCACCTGCTCGTGCTTTAACTTCGAAATATCCTCCTCGTCGCCTCGTTAAAAACCTCCCCGAGAAAACCCAATTGGGACAAAACTCAAGTGAGGGAAAAAGAGTACGACTCGGAGAACATCTTTCCTTTAGAATTTTAAATACTTGAGGTGGGGTATGTTCTAGTTGTTTGGTAGTAGTTTTCCTTCCATCGTTTCTAGTTGGAAGGATTCCTTGGTTTCTGCCGCCGTAATTTTTTATGGGCCATCCCAATTAGTCCCTAGCTTTCCTTCTTGTGGGTCCTTGCTCACCTGTGTTTCGGCTTTGAGTACGTAGTCCCCGACTTTGAGCGGTCTGATCTTGGCTTTTTTGTTGTGGTATCGCTCTGCCTGTTGTTTCTAGGCGACCATCCTTATTTAAGTCATGTTTGTTCGTTCTTCGGCCTCATCGAGGTCTTGCCTCCTGCTTTCATCGTTTCTCGGCCCGCTTTCGTGTGAGTACCTTAGACTTGGTTCTCCGACCTCGACAGGTATTACAGCATCGGTCCCATAGACCAGTGAGTACGGTGTTTCTCCTATCCTTGTTTTTAGCGTTGTGCGGTACGCTCATAGCACTTCCAACAGCAACTCCGGCTACAGTCCCTTGGCATTCTCGAGCTTCTTCTTCATGATATTCAGTATTGACTTATTGGAGGACTCCGCTTGCGCATTTCCCACGGGATGATATGGCATGGAGAGTTTCTTTTGAAATGCCATTTCTCGAAAAACTCGACTGTCTTTTTCCCAGTGAATTGAGGTCCGTTATCACAACTGCTTTCTTTGGGGAGGCCGAAGCGGCATACAATATTCTTCCATATAAAGGTGATAACTTCTTGCTCACGTATATGGGAGAACGCTCCTGCTTCAACCCATTTAGAGAAATAGTCAGTTAAACCAAAAGGAATCGTACTTTACCTCGCCCTGCTGGGAGAGGGCCGACGATGTCTATCCCCCATTTGATGAAAGGCCATGGCGAGGTGACTGAGTGGAGGTGCTCGCCCACTAGGTGGATCATGGGGTCGTATTTCTGGCATTGTTCACATTTTCTCACGAAGTCAGCGGCCTCTTTTTTCATTGTGGGCCAGTAATAGCCTGCTCGTATGAGGCATCTGACTAGGGCTCGATTGCCAGTGTGATCTCCGCAGTGACCTTCGTGGACTTCCTCCAGAACGCGTCGTGTCTGGTTTGGGCCTAAGCATTTTGCCAGGGGGCCGCCATACGTTCTTTTGTACAAGTCGTTGTTGATGACGATGTACCTGGCCACCTGCATTCGAAGCTTCTTGGCTTCTTTTTTGTCGTCTGGAAGCACTCCGTCCTACAAATATGTGACAATAAGATTGCGCCAGTCCCAAGTTAGATTTAAAGTTCGTACCTCGATTTGGTCATTCGACGAGTGGAGGAGAATGACCACATTTGCTTCTCAGGTTATGCCTTTAGTGGTCGCTACCAGTTTGGCAAGGCCATCTACTTTGATATTCTATGCTCGAGGGATTTGGTCGAGCTGGCATTTGTCGAACTCGGGTAACAGCTTGCAGATCTCGGCCCGGTATTCTTTTAGTCTTTGTTCCTTGATTTGGAAAGTCCATGTGACTTGATTGACGACGAGCTGAGAGTCGCACTGTAGGACGACTCACTTCGCTCCGTACTTGAGTGCTAACTTTAGCCCTGCAACCACGGCCTCGTACTCGGCCTCGTTGTTAGTCATATCTGGGAATCTTATGGACTGGCGAATCACTTTGCCTGTTGGGACTTCGAGCACGAGTCCCAGTCCTGATCCCGACGTGTTAGAGGCGCCATCGGTACACAAAACACATAGGTCGTGTATTCTGGGGAAGTACGGGCGACTTCCTTCTCGACATCAGGCATCATTTTCGTGCTGAAGTCGGCGACAAAGCCGCCGAGCACTTGCGACTTTATCGCCGTTCGCGATTGATAGGTTATATCATACTCACTCAATTCTATAGCCCATTTGGCCAACCTGCCCGATAGCTCGGGTTTGTGCAGAATACTCCTTAGGGGAAAGGTCGTGACCATCGAGACGGGGTGACACTGGAAATTGGATCTTAGCTTTTGCGAAGCTACGACCAAAGCCAAGGCTAGCTTCTCGAGGTGGGGGTACCTCGTTTCAGCGTCCACCAAAGATTTTCTAATATAATAAATGGGGGATTGCACACCTTTGTTTTCTCGGACCAGGACCGCACTTACGGCCACATCGGGCACGACCAGATAAATGAGGAGACGTACCCCAGGTTCCGCCTTAGCGAGCAACAGGGGTGAAGATAGATACGCCTTTAGTTATTTCAAGGCTTCGAGGCATTCAGAGTTCCATTGGAGTCCATTGTCATTCTTGAGCATGCCAAAAAATTTATGGCACCTGTCGGAGGACCGCGAGATGAACCTCGATAGGGCGGCATTGCGGCCGGTCAACTTCTGTACCTGTTTCTAACTGGTTAGGTTCTCCGGTATTTCTTCTATAGCTTTGATTTGGTCGGGGTTGACCTCGATGCCTCGTTGTGACACCAAGAAGCTAAGGAACTTTCCCGAAGTTAGACCGAAGGTGCACTTTTCGGGGTTCAATTTCATACCATAACGTATGAGTATGTCGAAGTCCTCTTTCAAGTGGTCGATGTGATCCTCTTTCCTTTTTGACTTGACCAACATGTCACCGATGTAGACTTCCATAGTTTTGCTGAGCTGGTCTTTGAACATTTTTGTCACCAACCTCTAATACGTCGCCCCCCCCCCCCCCATTTTTCAGTCCGAAAGGCATCACCTTGTAGCAGTACGTCCCCTGGTGAGTGATGAAAGTGGTTTTTTCTTGGTCTTCCTCTTCCATGAGGATCTGGCTGTAGCCCGAGTAGGCGTCCAAGAAGCTTAATAGCTCATGCCCAGCCGTTGCGTCAATGAGCTAGTCAATATGGGGTAGTGGGAATGAGTTTTTCGGGCAGGCTTTGTTTAAATCTGCAGAGTCTACGCACATCCGCCATTTCCCACTCTTCTTTTTCACCATGACCACATTGGCGAATCATTGAGGGTACTTCAATTCTTTGATAGAGCCGTTTTCCAGCAGTTTCTCAACCTCTTCGCGGACCGCATCATTTATTGCGGAGTTGAATTTTTGCATAACTTGCCACACTGGGGGTAAAATGGGTCGACGCTCAGCTTGTGTGTCGCTATCTCTTTCGGGATGCCCGGCATATCTACATGGGAAAAGGCAAACAAGTCTGCGTTGTTAGCTAAAAACTAATGGAATTTAACTGGTTCCCGAAGTTTGTGGCCGATGTTGACTTTTTTGCTGTGGTCGTCTTTGTCGAGTTGTATGGGGTCGAGATCCTCTACGGTCAACCCTATGGCCTCTACGATTTCGGGGTCCTTGATGACGTCTTTCCCTTTGTCATCACCCGACCTCTACTCCGTTAATTGCTATGCGGCCTTGGCTTTGCCTTTCAATTGTTAAGTGTGTATGCAGTCTTGGGCTATGCGATAGCATTCTCGGGCGGTGAGTTCCTTTCCTCGGATGCTGAATACCCCCCAAGGGGTGGGAAATTGGATGGCTTGATATAAGCTGGAGGGGACGGCTTTCATGGCGTGTATCCAGGGCCGACCTATGATGGCGTTGTACGCCGTATGCTGGTCCATGATGTGGAACATGGTCTTTAAAGTGACGTCGCCGACCAGGATGGGTAGCGTGATTTCTCCATATGTCTGTTCAACTGCATTGTTAAAACCCGTCATTGTGATGTAACGTGGCACTATCCTATCCTCGAGCTTCATTTGTGCGACAACTCAAGGGTGGACAATGCATGTGCCACTTCCATCATCGACCATAATACGTTTTACGTTACTATCTAAGATGTATAAAGTAATAACAAGGGCATCATAATGAGGAAATACCAAACTGTGGGTATCCGACTTATCAAAGACGATGCTCTCTTCGAGTTCGTCATACCATTCATGAGTGATTGACCGTTTCAGCTTGTGGGTGGTCGTGAATTTTACGTTGTTGATTGACGCATCATTGCCTCCTCCCATGATCATTTGGATGGTTCGAGTTGGGGAGGGCGGTTTTGGTGGCCCTTGATGTTGTTCGCGTCCTCGAGAAAAGTTTGCCCTTCCTCGTTCGCTCAAAAGTTCTTTCAGATGTCCTTGGTGAAGCATGTTCACGACCTCTTGCCTTAGAGCGGTGCAGTCCTCGGTTTTGTGGCCCCGTTCCTGATGGAATTCGCAGAGGGCGTTTGACTTTCTAGTGTTTGGGTCGGACCTCATTTTCTACGGCCACTTCACTTTTGGATCGAGTACTCCAGGGCGTAGACTATTTCTGAGGGGGAAACATAGAAATTGTGAGTAGATAATAGTGGAGGCATACCTTTTTCGCTTTGGTGAGTCCCTGTTGGCGGCCTGGATGGGCTGTCGCCATGACGGGAGGCGGTATGACGGCGGCTATGACATATGGTTGATGCCTTTCACGGTAGGGTCGCGAGCCTGCATGGTCCTTTCTGTTGTCATTTCTTCGGTCTTTCCTCGATTCCATTTGGACCAAGGTTAGACGTTGAGTTGGCCCATTAAGGTCGTCCTCGTCAGCTCGCACTTCGGCACAGTAGGCATTGCGTATCTCGTCCCAAGTGGTTGGGGGAAATTTCATGAGTCGGCTTAGAAATTTTCTAGTCGCCCTCGAACCGCTCCTGTATAACCCATTCTGGAAAGCTGCTACTGCCATTCCCTCTAATACATTTGGTAAGGTCATCCTCACGCGGTTGAATCGGGCGAGGAAATCTCTTAGTCCTTCTCCAGGTGACTATTTAATGGCAAATATGTCATTCACCCTCACCTCTGCTTTCTTGGCCCCGGCAAGGGCTGTTACAAACTTGATGGCCATTTTCTTGAACGTCTCTATGGAACATGCAAGTGGCTACGAGTACCAAGTTAATGTTATCTCGATGAGGGTTTCACCAAACTTCTTCAGCAGTATGGATGACACCTGTTCTTTGGCGAGGTCATTTCCTTTTACTACAGTGACATAGTGGGTCACATGATCCTCAGGGTTCGTCGTGTCATCGTATATTTTCAAGTATGGCGGCATTTTGAAGGTTTTATGTATGGCGTGTGGTGCAGCTTCGTCACTGTATGGTTGCTCAAAATATTATCCGGTGTCCGTTTTTCGTAAGAGTTTTGGGGCGCCGAGTATTTTGTCTACCTTTTCTTGATGCTCTTTCATTTGGCCGAGGAGTATTTTGTTCTCGTTCTCCATCTCCTCCATTTTCCTCGAAATGGTTGTGAGGGTGTCTTTACCTGCATCACTAACGTTGTGAGTAATACCTGTTATAAGTGGGGGGCCTTGTTGCTCGTCTGTCGCTGGTGCGACACAAACTCTCGCATCTTCTCTGTTCGTCCTTTGAGCGGGCTTGTCAAGAATGCTGGTCAGCGTGTTTGTAAACCACGCCTCGAGCAGCTTTTTCACTGCCGGTGGTGCCTCTTCCGTTGTGGATGTAGAGGCCCCTTTACAATGTAAGGCTGTGATGCTGTCGTGAGGGAAGGGTGAACCACTCTGCCTAGGGGAGGCGTTTGGTGTTACGTTCTTAGCATCTGTTTCAGCGATTTCGTTGATGGTGTTTAGGAGGTTGTTAGTAAGACTGGCCACTGCCTCCATTCTTTCCTCTCCATTACCTGCCATGTTCAACTATGCACGCAAGAAAAGATAAGGTTTTGTGTTGTTTTTTTTAGATTTGAAAGAAACTAAGATTTTAACTAGAATATCCCCACAGACGGCGCCAAATTATTTGATCAAAAAATATTAATCTTTGGTTAAGATAATTAATCAGTTATTAAAAAGGGTTAATCCCAGTTAAAGCTAATAACTTCAAATCTCGAGTTATCAGTACAAAAGATATGAGCAGTGAGGAACGGAGTTAATATGCTAACAATAATAAATGTGTATATAGCAGTGTGAATGAAGTATCAAGTATTAAATGACAATCAATATCAATAAATGTAAATAAGGAGGAAGATTCACCCAATATTGAATGAGGTAAATGATTCCTCCTTCTGACAATGATGAATGACAAGAAGATGAGAGAATGTTGAACACTTTCTCGGATCTGGTGTAAATGAGAGTAGATAATCCAAAAAGGTGTGAATCTCTCCAGAAAGTTATCCTTTATATTTATCTAGAGGGCTTACTTTTCAAAAGTGTTCTTATCATATAGAATATTACATGTCTTTTGTCTTATCTCGCATACAATTTATATGGGATATTCCCAAAAAACACTAAAAGATACAAATAGAGGGAATATTCTATTGAATATTCCTTCTAAAGGTTCCAAAGCTATATTAGCCGTTACTTTAATCTATGCGGCTCGACCTCGGCCCTGATGAACCACTCAACGGCTTGTTCTTTTGATCACTGATCGTCCTCGGCCAAACAGCCCATATTGCTTTGCAGGCCATTCATGACGATCGTCTCCGTGTGTCAAAGTTCTCTAGTTCGATTTTGACCCATACACCCATCAAATAGTCACTAATAAGTACTGTTATGAACATCGCCTTAGATTAAATAACTAACATCCAAATATCTTCCGATCAAATGGTCGTTAAAAAGTTCACGCGAGAGAAAAATGAAAAAGTAAGTGTTAATTTTCACCGTGACTTATTTAAAAGGATTATCTGTCAAAATATTTTTTTTCTTAAATACTTTACCCGATCAAACTTCACATATATTGGGGTGAAGGAGTATAAAAGAGGGAATATAATTTCAAACTTTAGATTATATATTGGTGGATTTCCAAACAACTGGCTTTCTTTTTTCTTTTCTTTTTTCAGTTGATGGATCAAATATAGACTTGATAAATGATATTTACTTCGTTCAATTTATATGATACAGTTTCTTTTTGGTATGTTCAAAAAAATTCTTATGATATTTTGAAACAATTTGACTTTGAACCTCAGCTTTTACCAATAATGATATATATTATAATTATACTATTATCGGTAACCCCACTATGTCGAATTATACTTTGTTTGTTATTGTTGTTGTTGTTGTTGTTGTCGATAGCGTAGAAGGGTAAGTTTCACAAATGGTCATATAACTATGACTTTTCTTTCATCAAAGTCATATATTTTATTTTTTCACACAAAAATCATAGTCACTGAATAATACAACTTTTCAGTAGTATTTTCTTAATCCATGATTTTTTATTTTTTATTTTAAGTCTAATAAGTAATAATCAAATTTAAAATAAAAATGACCCTACCCGACCTGACCCAATACCCATATATATAAATTATAATAATACTAAACGTGAATCCTTCAAAACATGATACTTCTATATTTATTTATTTTTTAAGATTTTTATTCAAATTGATAGTATTTTTGTTTCAAGCGCTCTTTAATTATATATTTTATTTATTTATTTGTCAGAATCTCATACATTCCCAACTACGTTTTTTTGTGGGGGAAGGATTCACATTTAGTATTATTTTAATTTATTTATGTGGCTATTGGGTCAGGTTGGGTTGGGTCATTCCTATTTGAATGGAAAAATACAAAATTGATCGATTGGCCGAAACTAATTGCATAATATATATATATATATATATATATATATATATTGTGAACATGTAATTTTTGCCCAATATATAAAATTACTCCTAGAAAACTTCAAAAATTAGCTTTTTATTATTTTATAAAATTTTAGGAATTTTTCTATATTTTACTTGATTTGTTTTGTGCGTATTTGTGTTTGGTGCATTTTTAGAAGAATTTTAAATCTAAAAGAATTACAAAAATATTTAATATTTAAATTTTTAGATTTTAATTGCATAATTAATTGCAAAAAGCAGACCGCACAAAGAAAAATGCTCTCTCTGAAGGCGCACGTTACGCAGGGATAGCTAACGTACGCACATCACGATGACTAGACGGAAATCACAGACAACGGCACCGCCAACTAAACCGGAGGCGGCAGACGGAGAAAGAATGGTAACACCGGAGTTGGGGATCCCACAAACGGTAAGTCAATTGCATTTAGTACACTGGATGACTGGAATGGGAAGTGCACCAACTGTCATGCAAGCTTCAAAGTGTGCTGAAATGGAGAAGCCTCAACTAGTAGAGGTAGATAACAACACAGCAGCTAGGAAGCTCATGTTCTCAAATCAACGCTCAAACCAGGAGGAAACAAAGGCGACACTAGCTGAGGTGGTTCAAGGTAACAGATCTCAACAACAGGGGATGCAATTGGAGTACTATCCCCTAGTTATTAAAGAAGGAGTAAAGGTAGTTCGTCTGAATCAAGTTCAGGTGGCGGAGCAACCCAGAAATGGCAAGTAGCGCTAATTGGGTATGTACTGGGAGGAAATCCATCCTTTAAAGAAATGCTCAAATTCGTATATGGTGTGTGGAACTTTGTAGCAACTCCACAGGTATTTCTTCATGATGATGGATACTTTGTTTTCAGATTTGAATCTGAAGATGATAAGAACAAAGTTATTCAAAGAGGACCACACACATTTTATAATCGACCTATGATATTGAAACAGTGGGTACCTAGGTTTCAGATGAGTAAAGAAATAACACAAAATGTCCCAATTTGGGTGCTATTTCCAGGGTTACCAGTTGAATATTCGACAAAGGAAATCTAGGTCGAATAGCAAGCTCTATAGGGAAACCTATATGTTTTGATAGATTAACGACAGAAGGAGATAGAATATCCTATGCGAGAATGTTAATTGAAATGGATGTCTCTCAGGAATTACCGGACAGAATGCTAATTGAGGAGGATGATGGCAAACTTATGGAGCAAATCATAGAATATGAATGGAGACCTTCGTTCTGTGGAGTGTGTTTCCAAATAGGACAGCATGAATTTAACTGTGAGAAGGCACCAACAGAAAAGCAACAGCCCAAGGAGGAGAAACAACAAAAACAAGGGAAACCATTCAAGCAACAGAAGAGGAAAACACAATGGAAAGTAAAAACTACTGCTGTTGAGCAATTAGGAATAACACAAACTGGTGAGCAAGGAAAAATAGCACAACAGGGGAAAGAACAGAATGGGGAGACAAGTGAGAAGCTGCAAAAGCAACAAGAAGAGCAAGAGAATGCAGAACAGAAGGCTGAAAAAGAAGAGGCATTCTAGCCACAACAAAGATCTAAAGGTAAGCAGAAGATGAAAGTACAAATGCAAAATAAGTGAGCCCTAAATGACAATGAGATAGAGAAGCTACTAATGACTAATAGATATAGCTCTATGAGAATACAAGAGGATTGCATCACTACAAAGGTGACTGAAGGGATTGGCCTCAATAAGGAAAATCCACCATGATCATAAGCTCTTGGAATATAAGAGGGCTGAATAAGCCCTACAAGCAGAGAGAACTCAAGGCCTTTCTGCTAAAACATACAATTACTTTACTAGGCTGCCTTGAGACAAAGATAAAGCCTAGAAGTGTTAGCAAAGTCAAAAGTTAGTTTTGTAGGGATTGGCAAGTTTTTTCAGATGAGCAGATAAGTCCTATTGGGAGGATATGGTTATTTTGGAAGGATAGTATGGTCCAGTTCCAAATGCTGATGGTTACTACTCAATTGATCCATTTCCAAGTGAAGGAAAGAGGGTCACAATTCTCATGTTACATCACTTTTGTATATGGAAAGAACAAAGTTCATGAAAGGAGGGAGCTATGGGATCAACTAAGGCAGATTCAAAGTACAATGCAGGAGGCTTGGTTGGTCATAGGAGATTTTAATAGTGTTCTGTCTGTTAATGATAGAATAAATGGGCAACCTATACACCAGGCTAAATTAGTGGATTTTCAAGACTGTATAAGAGACATTGGAGTGGGGCAATTGAATAGAAAAGGCTGCCAATGGTCATGGTATAATAAAAGGGATGCAGGAGATAGAATCTATAGCAATATAGATTGGGTGTTTGGAAATGCCTCTTGGCTTACAAAGTATAGTAGCCTTGAAGCTATATATGAACTACCAGGGATTTCTGACCATTCACCTATTGTGATAAACACTGAAGTGGTAAAGAATCATTTACAACAGCCTTTTAGGCTTTACAATGTCCTGCTACATCAAAGGGAGTTTAAAGACTGTGTGAATGAGATCTGGAACCAAATAATTGAGGGATATGCTATATACTCCGTGTGGACTAAGCTACAAAGAGTGCAGATGAACAAGGAGATGAACTTATTGGAGAAAAAGCTGGGAACCCTAAGAATGGAGATGCAGAATACTCAAAGGAAGCTAGATGATGATCCTCTCAACCAACAGTTGATTGAGCAGGAAAGAGAGTTGATTATGCAGACTGAAAAATGGGAAGGGGTGAATGAACAGGTACTCAGACAAAAGTCTAGAGCAATGTGGATAAAAGCAGGAGATAGAAATTCTAAATTCTTTCATGCTCAGCTAAAAAATAGGCAGGCAAGGAACAGAATTTCATCTATCTGTAATGAGCAAGGGAGGAGAGTATCAGAACCAAAGAAGATTGAACAAGAATTTATAAGCTTCTTCCAAAGCTTACTGGGCACTTCAGCAAAAGAGATCCCCTGTATTGATATTACAACTGCTACAGATGGACACTGCCTTACAAAAGAGCAACAACAATTGCTTATTGCCCCAGTAACTACAGAAGAGATTGATATGGCAGTGAAGGAGTTACCAAATGAAAAAGCACCAGGGATAGATGGCTTTCCAGCAGAGTTTTTCAAAGAATATTGGAATATAATTGGAGGAGAAGTCAAGCAAGCTGTACAGGAATTCTTCAACACTGGGAAGCTGCTTAAGAGTGTTAATTGTACAACAATTACACTTGTACCTAAGGTTGCTAGCCCAAACTCTGTCAAAGAGTTTCGATCTATTTCCTACTGCACTACAGTGTACAAGATCATAGCTAAGATTCTCACAGCAAAATTGAAGCTGGTAGTGGACTCAATTGTAGGACCTTCTCAGTCAGCTTTTATTGAAGGGAGAAACATTCTTGATAATGTTATTATTGCTCATGAGCTGGTTAAGGGGTATACTCAGAAGAGAGTTTCACCAAGATGCTGTATAAAGGTGGACATAAGAAAAGCATACGACTCAGTAGAATGGCCTTTTCTAAGAATGATTTTGATGGAGTATGGTATGCCTGCCAAGTTTGTGGAGCTAATAATGAGTTGTGTTTCTACTGTCAGTTACTCATTGATTCTAAATGGAGGATTAACAGCTAAATTTCAAGGGAAAAAGGGGCTAAGACAAGGAGATCCAATGTCTCCTTACCTCTTTGTATTGGTGATGGAATATCTGAGTAGGGCATTGAAGAAGCTGAAGGATAATCCTGACTTTAACTATCACCCAAAGTGTTCCAGAAATAACATTACTCACATATGCTTTGCAGATGATCTTATTATGTGTTGTAGAGCAGATAGGGTATCCATCAAATTGCTGATAGACAGATTCAATCATTTCTCAAAAGTTTCAGGCCTGAAAGCTAACATGGAAAAGAGTGCTTTATACATTGCAGGTGTTACAAAGGAGTTCAAAGATATGATTCTGGAAGAGATGCAATTTTCAATAGGGGAACTGCCATTCAAATATCTTGGAGTACCATTATCCTCTAAGAAGCTGACAGTTCAACAATGTATGCCATTGATTGAGAAGATTACAACTAGGATCAACTGCTGGACTGCTAAGCTACTATCATACAGTGGAAGGCTCCAATTGCTGAAAAGTGTAATCTTTGAAATGTAGACTTATTGGGCACATGTGTTCTTACTGCCAAAGAAAATTCTCAAGCTAATAATTTCAGCTTGTAGAACTTTTCTATGGACAGGAAGGGGTGAGCCATCAAGAAGAGCTCTAATTGTATGGGATACAGTGTGTATGCCTTACTCAGTAGGTGGATTAAATATACTGGACATTCATATATGGAATAAAGCTGCATTGTGTAAACTTCTATGGGCTGTTAGTGCAAAGAAGGATACCCTTTGGATACAATGGATACATAGCTACTATATCAAAGGGCAAGACAACATAAGGATGGATACTCCTAAACAAGCATGCTGACTTGTTAGGAAGATCTTTGATATCAGATACTAGTTTCTGGAAAAGTATACAAGTGATGACTTACACAAGTATTACAGAAATGGCAAATTTAGTATTAGAAAGTTATATAATGCTATGAGACCTCAATTTCAGAAAAGCTTGTGGAAAAAAGTATTAACTGGATCTAAAGCAATACCAAAATATAGATTCATACTGTGGCTAGCAGTACACAGGAAACTAGCTACAGTTGATAGACTTGAGAGATGGGGAATAACAGTAGCAGTGGAATGTGTACTATGTGCAACAAAGGAAGAGGAGTCAATGCATATATGGTTTGGATGTGTCTATGCCAGAACAATATGGGCTACACTGCTACAATGGCTCAATGAGAAGCATCAGATTGGAAGCTGGGAAGAGAAAATTGAATGGCTGAGAAGAAGGACTGCTAATAAAACTCGAGGTGAAATATTGATATTCCTATTCACCGCAATGGTGTATCATGTCTGGGCAGAGAGAAACAAAAGAAGATTCCAAGGGGGAATAGTTGCCAGTAATCAGAGAATCAAAGACATTGTGATGGAATTACATATAGCAGGGCAAAGAGAAACAAAGTGGCATAAAGAACTAGAAAAGTTGAAGAATTTTTCTTAGTTCATACAGGACAATGTAATTGTTATAGGAATTGTTAACTGATTATTCAGATAGGTATGTAGATAGGTCTAGTTCTGGAGTCCAAAAGAACTAGCGGATGTAAATATTTTTACTTAATAAAGTTTAAACGTTTAACCAAAAAAAAAAATTGCATAATTAATTGTATTTGTAAAACATTAAAATGCCAAAACACATTAGGCACTTTACATGCATTATTAGTTAAATAAATTAGTTAATTGTTAGAAAAATAGTTAAATGAGTTAATTTTGCAAATTAGTTTTAAATTAGGTGTTGTTAAGAAAAATGGTCAATTTTGAAAATAAAACAAAGAAGGAAAGAGGGGTCTCCCGAATTGGGCCAGTTTCAGCGGCCCAATGTCCATGTCGCCCCATTCAATACCCAGTCCAACAACCCTTCCTCTCAAGCCACCAAATTGACGTAGTTTAACATCAAAACTACGCCGTCTTATCCCCCAACCCTCACTAAAGCGATCCCTGCCGTCCATTCTCAAGAGAGACGGACGATTCCTCTAATCTAATGAACCCCAGCCGCCCCCAATTCCCAAATACTCTCAAGATAGAAGTACCCAACTCACAAAATTCTCATTGTCTCACTTACGCTTCACAAATACAGAGGTAGTTAGGAATTCTGCATCTGAAAATGCTCTTTAAAACTCTGAGATCTAAGCAAAATCAGGAAAAAAAAAGATTTGAAAGCTAGCTTAAACTTCTACTCGCATGCTCTACTTTTTCTGGAAATTCAAGTGCGAACAAGCTTGAGAAAGAGCTGTTAAAGCTGGGATTGGGAGCTGATCTCGCCGATGATCACGTTGTTGTCCAGTAGCTGAGTTCCAACACTACCTACGCTTTTCAGCCTTTGTTTTGGCTTTCGAGTTTTATCTGCCTTTCAGGTATGAACTTCGATCAAAAATGATGTAATTGTTGTTTAGATGCTCCATTGCGTTGAAATTCACATTAACTGTTCCCTTATTCCTCTGAAAAAGTTCTCACTGTTAATTGCAAGTTTGAGTTAATGTTGAACTACTTTGATGCATAAAGCTAGAATAATCTCTGTACAAAAGTCATTTGTTGATAATTACTGTTAAAGCTTCATTTGTCATACCATAGGTTTATTGCCCAAGTGTTTTAAAATCTAGACATGTTTATTCATTTGTGTTAGATTAATAATTGCGGGGCGAGAACAATATTAGCGTACCTGTCAAGGCAGCGGAAGAATTGTTAAACTCACCACCGAAACAATTGCCCCAAACCGAACTTTGAATCACTAGGAAACAAAGTTAATCTTCCACCAATTAGATGCCCTTGCTTGTGTGTATCTTTCTTTGGGAGAAGAAGAGATTCAGAGAAAATTCTTACTGTGCGTGGTTCTATATTTTTTCCTTCACATAAAATAGGCAGAGAAATAGCGGTTAAGGAAGATAACCCACCACTCACCCCTTTTGCACATTCAGTTTAGTGGGTGTTTGTGGTCTAGTAGTAACTTCCCTTATCTCTCCTAACCGGGTCGGGTCAACCCACATGGAGCGACCCATGACCCATAATCCAACATCTCCCACTTCGCTCATAGTGGGCTAGACCGATGTCTTTGACACACTTTTCATACTGGCAAATAGTTGGTGCGACATGCGAGCACAAAGAGCTGTAAAATTACTAAAGCTCTATGTAAAAATCCAATCACATATGGAAAGGATTCACTACTAGCATGAGGATATCATTACTCGCAATACCCCAGACATCATTCGCTATTGCAGTAGCTACTTATTCGATCCCTTATCCCCGAAAGAGGCAAACTCGAGTTCTCATATAACATTGTATCCACAATTACACCCAATACCCTGATGGTAAGTGTAATGGTCGGCCTATGAATACAATTTAAATTACTAAATTTTAGTCGTCTTCCCTTTCTACTCGAATCTTTTCATTCCAAATAAACTATTTTCCTTGACATGCACTGCATTGCCGAATCAATCATGGCTATTAGTGGCATGCTAAAGTAGCAACACTGATTGGCACTTCCAAAGACAGTAAAAGGTCAAAGGGTATTTCAATAAAAGTTACTCTAACTTCTTTGGGATCTCACACAATGAAGAAGTAGGGATTCATTCTTCCATTATCCCACGGTCGATAGCACACGTGGTATGAAACACATGTTACAGTGTTCTCACCTTGTATTGGTGTATGTGCGTTATTCTTTTAATCATTCAACACCGTACAGATCTTGGTCTAGACACCTCCAAATGTCTAACCCGAGTTTCTCACTTCAATAATCCTCAAACTATCTTCTTAGAGAAACTTCCATCTGGCTTACAAAAAACAAGTCAAAATCGAATTGTAAAATTCATAAGTCTGATTAGTTGTCAAGACTGACCTTTACAAGTGAATATAACCTCACACTATCCAAGGTTCTAGAAGGTCTCATCTCTTCACCATTCTTAACGTAAGAGGCGATTGCTCGTGTGAGAGAGCCAATCTCGCGACTTGTTCGACACACTTTATCAACAAAACATTCATCACATACATACGAGATATAAGCATAATTCAAGAGTCAAATATTTATGAGCATATTATAATACTTAAGTCATTTTACAATACATAAATATGTTCATATCCTTCACAAACCTAGAGCCATAACATGTTTATCAAACAGGTCTCTAGATATCGCCTTTGTAAAAGGATCAGCTATCATGCTTCGCGTAGGAATGTACTGTAAATTTATCTCTCCACTTGCTAACATGTCTCTTACAAAGCTATACTTGATGTCAATGTGTTTGGTCTTGCTGTGATACTTAGGATCTTTTGTATATGCAATAGCCGCTTGACTATTACAATATAGAGTCATGGGACCCTGAGAGTTCTTTGTAATATCTAAATGCTCAAAGAATCTCTTCAACCAAACAACTTCTTGTACTGCAGACGCACAAGCCACGAACTCAGCTTCCATTGTTGAAAGGGCTGTACAGGTTTGTTTCTTACTTTTCCATGATATAGCACCACCATCAAGTAAGAAGGCATAATCGGATGTTGACTTTCTATCATTCCGATCACCAGCCCAATCAGCATCTGTATATCCTCTCAAGTATAAATCATTTCTACTATAACATAGTGAATAATCTGCAATTCCCTTCAGGTATCTGAAAATTCTCTTTACATCTTTCCAATGATCTCTTCCAGGATTGGACTGACACCTGCTAACCAGACCTACGGCATAACAAATGTCTGGGCGAGTACACATCATAGCGTACATCAAGATCCCGACAGCACTTGAATACGAAACTCGAGACATGTCTCTCTTTTCATTTTCAGTCTTGGGACACATTTCAAGGCTTAAAGTTTCACCTTTCGCTATAGGAGTATCCATGGATTTGCAACTGTTCATGCGAAAACGCTCCAAAATTTTCTTCATATAAGTTTCTTGAGATAGACTCAATAACTTTTTGGAACGGTCTCTTTGGATCTTAACTCCAAGGATATAGTCTGCCTCGCCCATATCTTTCATGTCAAATGACTTTGAAAGCCATGACTTGATAGTTTTCACATACTCCAAATTGTTTCCGGCTAATAAACTATTGTTCACATAAAGAGAAAGAATTACAAACATCCCATTGGACTTCTTCACATAAATGCAATGGTCTTCATTGATCATGGTGAAATCATATGAGATCACCTCCTTGTGAAATCTCAAATACCATTGCCTTGAAGATTGCTTCAGACCATAAATAGATCTTTTCAATTTACAGACCTTCTTTTCTTGGCCTTTAACGATGAAGCCTACAAGCTGTTCCATGTAGATTTCTTCGTTCAGTTCTCCATTGAGGAAAGTTGTCTTCACATCCATTTGATGTAATTCCAAATCCAAACGTGCAACAATAGCCAAAAGTAAGAGAATTGAGGTAAACTTCACAACTGGTGAAAATGTTTCCTCATAATCTATTCCAGCTTCTTGAGTAAAGCCTTTTGCCACCAATCGTGCCTTATATCTTTCTATTGACCCATCCGCTTTGCGTATAACTTTGAGAGCCCATTTGTTCCCAATGGCTCTACGCCCAGGCGGAAGGTCAACCAGATCCCAGACTTTGTTGGTTTTCATGGACTCTAATTCTTCTTTCATTGCTTTCATCCACTCATCTTTTCCAGGGCTCGATAAAGCCTCAGTCACAGACTTTGGCTCATCCATTTCTGTGGGAGTTACCAAGAAAATATAATCTTCAATTTCATAAGTATGTTTGGGTATATTTTTCCTGGCACTCTTTCGTAGTTGAAATTCAGGTTCGTCAGAAGGATTTTGGGATTGAGAGTTCCCACTCCCACTCCACTCCCACTCGGATCAAGAATAAGATCTTGATCAATTTGATTATCAACTGTGTCAAAGACACTTGCTGACTATCTGAGTTCAACATTTCATAAAGAGCCTCTCCATTCTTTACCTCGCCCTTCTTTCGAAAATCATTTTCCAAAAATGTGACATCTCGCGATTCAATCTCAGTAACAATTCCATCCTCTAATTCACCAATGAACACATACCATTTGGAGTGTTCTGAATATCCTATAAAGATACATTTCTTGCCTTTTGGACCTAATTTACCAAACTTGATAAAAGAATCTTTTACATATGCAACACAACCCCAAGGTCGTAAATCCTTTAAGTTTGGTTTATGACCAGTCCATAGCTCATAAGGAGTGGAAGAAACTGATTTAGAAGGCAGTTTGTTCAATATATAAGTTGCAGTCAATAACGCATCTCCCCAAAAGGAGATAGGTAAATTTGCCTGTGCCATCATGGACCTTATCATGTCCAATAGTGTTCTATTCCTCCTTTCTGCTACACCATTTTGTTGAGGTGTGTATGGAATAGTTAACTGTCTGGTGATTCCCTTTTCATTGCACAATCCTTTAAATTCTTTTGAAAGATATCCACGCCCTCTATTGGTTCTTAAGGTCTTAATCCTTTTGTCTAATTGGTTCTCAACTTCATTCACATATTTCTTAAAGCATTCAAGTGCTTCAGATTTATGAGAGATCAGATAGACATAACCAAAGCGTATGAAATCATCAATGAACGTAATGAAATATAAAGCACCAAACCTAGCCCTCACATTCATTGGACCACAGATATCAGAATGGACTAATTGCAACGGAAAATGAGCTCTCTTAGCCTTTCCAAATGGTTTACGTGTAATCTTTTCGGCAAGACAATTTTCACAAGTTGGCATTTCAATTTTAGAGAAAGGACCTAGATGTCCTTCCTTAGCCAATCTATTCATTCGATCCTGCCCTGACCTAATCTTGCATGCCATGTAATAACATCAACATCATTGTTACTAGAATAACATGCCATAACACAACGGTCAACATAATAGTTATACATAGAAGGATTACAATCTAACACAATAAAACCATCATAACAATGTCCAAAACCATAAAAAAAAATTGTCTTGAGTAATTCTAAGACCACTGCGACTAAAGTTCAAATTGAAATCTAAATCTAGAAGAACAGATACAGATACTAAGTTTCGTCGAATCTCTGGAACATATAGGACGTCATGCAACATCAAAGATCGGCCACCACGCATATCAATTCTGCAAGTGCCTATCCCTTTGACTTCAAGCTTAGCATTATTTCCCACATATACATGCTTTGATTCGGGTGGAACTCGACGAAACTCTATAAATGCTTCTCTATCGCGGCTCACATGGTCGGTGGCCCCTGAGTCTACAATCCACACAGGATAAGATTCAGTTAGTAAAACAGTGCTAGAAACATATATAGCACTAAGAGATGCATTTTGAAATGCTACCTTTTTCGGCTCAGTGCACTCACGAGCA